CCATTTGCAAATAGTAGACACATTACTGAGTTGAGCCAGAAGGTGGGTTTTTCTACAAAGTTCATTAGTTCTTGAGACATCTTGGTTACTTCTTGGTTTTTCCTGTCATACTGTCAACTACAAGTAGCATGCAGATAATTTCTTGCTTCTCAAAATTTGAATTGGATGTATGCACAAAAAAATTTCCATCAGTTCTCAACGATACAGGTCCTTTTCCTAAGTACATTTTTTTTGCTAAGTAGAAACAAAGAAAGAATGCAGAGAAGAGAAATACAGAAAATTAGGAGCCTGAAGACTAAAACATATACAGAACATTTGCAGGAACTGGACATGGCTAGTCTAGTGAAGAGAAAGATCATGATAGCAGTCTTCCAATATTTGAGGGGCTGCCACAGAGGAGGGGTGTCAACCTATTTTCCAAAGCATCTGAAGGCCAGACAAGGAACAATGGATGGAAACTGAACAAGGAGAGATTCAACCTAGAAATAAGGAGAAATTTTCTGATAACTTAAACAATCAATCAGAGGAACAACTTGCTTCAGAAGTTGAGAGAAAAAGCCAAAGTATTTAGAGGTTATGTTGACAATTACAAATCTGTTTCAAAATAACTATGTCTGCCTTTGGAGGGCTATTAAATAGGATTTACAGAAGGGGGATAAATTGCATTTATCATTATTGGGTAGAATTTCTGTAATTAAGATGAATATTTTACCAAAGATGTTTTTTTTATTTCAAATGTTACCAATACTTATAACTGATAACCCATTTAAACAATAGCAGAAGGATATTTCTAAGTTCATATGGCAGGGGAAAAGACCAAGAATTAGATACAAGTTACTGCAAGATGCTAAGGAAAGAGGGGGTTTGGGTCTGACAGATATGAAATTGTACTTTGATGCGTGCTGTTTGACCTGGGCAAAATAATGGGTGAGCCTCCAGAATAAGAGGTTACTTGAATTAAAGTCTATCCCTCTCTCTCTCCCTCCCTCCCTCTCTCCCCACTCCCACTTCTCTCTTTCCCACTTCCCCCTCTCCCTCCAATCCCCAAGTGTGTTGGCTGGGGATCCCTGTGCACAGCATTCCACTATGAAATGTAACACAATAATAAACAATGTCTAATCTGATAAGGAGCAACACGATGGAACAATGGAAGTCCATTTTGCAGTGTTCATTCCTGCACTTGAAGAGTTCTTGGGAACTGAATGCTTGACTTTTACTGCACATTTATAATATCAATCAGAATAAAGCTGGAAGGGACTTCAGAGGTCTTCTAGACCGATCCCCTGCTCAAGCAGGAATACCTATACCATTTCAGACAAGTGACTGTCCAGTCTATTCTTAAAAATCTCCAGTGATGAGGCCCCCACAACTTCTGGAGGCAAAGCCGTTCCACTGGTTAATTGTCCCCACTGTTAGGAAGTTTCTCCTTAATTCCAGGTTGCTTCTTTCCTTGATTAGTTTTCATCTATTGTTTCTTGACCTACCTTCAGATGCTTTGGAAAATAAGTTGACCCCCTTGTTATTATAATCAAAGATCTGTTCCCAGGCTCCAAAAAATACCCCTGACATTTAATTTCTTCTCAACGACATAATGCAGTCTCAACAGATGTTTTACAGAATCAAATATAAAAATGTCCATATGAGTTAAGGTTATGTCTTCATGGGCAAGAATACATTAAACTCATAGTCCATGTTCTCTTAAATTGTATTCTCTGTAAAAATGCCAATGCCCACCACAACTCCCTGTTTGGGAAACTACATATACAATTCTGACCTATGGTAAGAACAGTATGATTGTTTTACCCTACAAGTGGCATAATATTGATATGTCACCTGTGAGTGCCTTTGATTCAGTGTTAACTCCTCAAAACTGTCTGGCAAATTCCTGAATTTTTCTTGGTGAGATTTCAGAAGTACCCTTGTTTGCTTCCAAGGACAGGAGAGAGTGACTGGCCCAAGATCACCCAGTTGTCTTCATGCCTAAGATGGAACTAGAATTCACAGTCTCCTGACTTCTAATCTGTTGACTTAACTGCTACACTAAACTAGCCAAATTACCCAAACTAGGTAACATCATTAGTGCTAGTAAGGAGTGAAGTTTACTGTCAGTTTATATTGTGATGAGTTGCCTGTCTGTGTGGATGGGGACAGTCTTAGAGATTCTGTTCTGATTCTGATGAACCAGTTACCCAGTTAGGGTAACGAAATGTCTGCAAGAAAAGAAGCAAGCTTAGAGAGCACCAAGGACCCCTCATTTCAACCCTGAGCTACAAATATTCTCCTTTATTTTGAAGGGTATCAAGTGAATCATCTCCTGGAGGCCAATATTTGGAAGATGAATTTAACAACAGCTGTTCACTTGTGTTCCTAAAAAGAAAGGAAATCAGCTCTTGGAACTACCTTAGCCATCTTGATGAGCAGCCATTGATATTTGATTTTCGTCTAATCACACAGAATAGAACAGAATAACAGAGTTGGAAAGGGATCTTGGAGGTCTTCTAGTCCAACCCCCTGCTCAGTCAGGAAACCCTATACCCATGTTGGCAAACCTATACCACGTGTGCTGGAAGTGACACGCAGAGCCATTTCCCCTGGCACGTGAGAGGTTGCCCGGGAGAGCACCACTGTGCATGCACGCCACTGCCTGACAGCTGATTGTTGGGTATCTGGTGCACATGCGGTGGATGAGGTGTGTGGGAGATGCGTGTGCATGCGCAGGGACACGCTGCACACGAGGGGGTTGCACATGCATGCACAGGCACGTGGCATGTGAGAGGAGTCATGTGCACATGTGCAGGGGGCGTTGGGGAGGCCAGCATGCATTGCCTTCTGGGTGCTGGCACATGAGTGCACGCAAGCGCGCGAGCGTGCAATTATCGGTACGGGAGCCAAAAAAGGTTAGCCACCACTGCTCTATATCATTTCAGACAAATGGTTGTCTAATCTCTTCTTTAAAAACTTCCAGTGTTGGAGCATTCACAACTTCTACAAATCTGTCTCCATCACTATATCTTGTGGTAAGAAATCCCATCAGCGAAAAACATATGTGTTACATATGGGTATTTTCTCACGTCATTATATATATATATATATATATATACACACACACATACACACATATATATATACATCGATATCCATATCGATATCCATATCGATATCCATATCCATATCGATATCCATATCCATATCCATATCCATATCCATATCCATATCCA